GCAGAGGCAGCTTCCTGTCCCAGGGAGGCTGTGCCTGGGGCCGCCAAGCAAGTGAGGGTGCTGGGTTTGGTGTGAATTTACAAAGGTTGTCCAAGTTCAAGTCGGTGCGAGAACACTATGTCTTAACTCAGTAACTTTGTCTCGTGTCTGAAAACGCCGCCCATTGTGTGGGTCATCGTCACTAAAGGAAACCTGGAAAATGAAGCGAACCGTGGAACTGTGCTACTCACTGGCAGGAAAACGGATACTGTTTCTTCGCTGAGAGGCGCAGGAGCCAGTCGCCCACCCAGAAGGGAGTGAGGTGGGGCTTGTTGGTTCTCACTCTCTTGTGGCTGTTCCTGCGGACTCATTCCTCGCTGCTGTCCTCACACTGGTAACATTGGGCTGGGTTTTAAATTTCAAGTGTTTAACTCTTAACTTTGATTCAATTGCAAACGAACAAAAAGTTACCAGAATGATACAATGAACTCATATATATATATATATCTCCTACATTTCCTAACTGCTGGCATTCTGTCCCATTTGCTCCATTATTTGCCCCTTCTTTCCTTCGTCTATTGAGAGTGTTGACTTTAAACTGAAATTGCAATGCAATTATTGTCACACAAATGATGGCTCTGTTTTGTTGAAGTCCCCAAAGGTGTGTGTCTCTCTGCTGTCTTACTGTGCAGTCTCAGTCTGGATACAGGGGACGTGAGTGACGTCTGGGGGTCCAGGAGCACTGTGTGTTGGGGGGGTGGGGGTGGGGGCTGTGACCGCAGTCCCCCCCACCCCCAGGGTGCTCCACAGAATCTGGGCAAACATCTCTCGGAGCACACGGGTGCCTGTCTGATTCTTTCATTTGGTCAGGTGTGACCTGAGGGGCAAGTCAATGACCCCCTGTTTTCTGCCTCAGTTCCTTCCTCCGTGCGGGGAGCTGGTGGTGCCCTTCCCATCACTTGGTCGGGGGTGGGGCGGGGGTGGGGTGCGGTGGCGGCCCCAGGCAAGGAGACGCTGGGCACAGCGCGTGGCCCAGGAGGGAGCCCGACACACGCCCCGTGTTTGTCGCAGAAACTGGGGCCCGGAGAGGCCCGTGGCTTCGCCGGCCGCCCTCTGGGCCCGCACCCCGCTCACCGAGCACGATGACCTGCACGGCCTCAGAGGACTCGTTCCGCCGGTCCTGGATCATCCCCCGGCAGAAGTAGGAGCCGTTGTGCTGGCCGGTCGCTGCCGGGATGTGGAAATCCTGGTTGTTGCGAGAAAACTTCTTGCCTCTGCCGTTCTGGAAAAACTGGACCCTGTAGACAGGCAGGTTCTTCCAGCTGTGGCACCTCATCACGATGGGTTCCCCCGCCTGGACCACCCAGCGTCTGGCCTGGAGCACCAGCCAGGCTGAAAGACACAGACCACAGCCCCCGGAGGCCTCGGTGATGGGCACGGCTCGCTCTCGAAGGGACACTGGCCACCAGGTCCCCAGGTGGACAGCGGACTGGGAGCCCTTCCCACAAGCTTCCCCCAGGAAAAAGCGCCCCCCACCCACCCTGCCCAGGCCTGCGTGAGAGCTCGAGCCACACCAAGACCCCTGTGTAGCGGGGGCACAGGGACAGACACACGGTGGGAACCACGGCCAGGGCAGAGGGACTCGGGTGAGGCAGGCGAGGTGCCGTCTGCAGGGTGGAGGGCTGCCCTTGGTGTGCGAGGGCAGGGGGCAAGGGGCCCGGCGTGTTCCAGATCCAAGAGTCAAAGTTGCGTTTGACAACGGTGACCTGCCTCCTGGGAGGAAAGGCAGCCCTGGAAGGAGCAGACAGTTTGCTGAGACGTGGAGAGACCCCGGCCGCAGCCAGGAGCGTGGTCCCTGGGCGGCGGAGGAGCCGCCGCAGACTCGGCGAGGGAGGGCTCGGTCTGAAGGTCGAGATGGGCGTGCCCTTGGGAGTCTGAGGGCCTCGGGCACCCTGAGCGCAGCCTTCAGGAGCGAAAAGGCTCGCCCACCCCCTCAAGGGCCTCACGGCTGCCCCGCCCCGTGCCCAGACTCCGCACGGAGGGAGCCTGGCCGGCGGGCGGGCCTGGACGACCGCAGATGAGCTGCAGACCGACCGTGACCCGGCACGGGAACGGTCGGGAGGCGAGGCTCCGCGAGGAAGACGGGGTGTGGGGAGCGCGTGCTCACGAGGCCACCCACGGAGGGGCGCACTTTCCCCTTAAATGTTAACAGGTTTCGGGGGGGTGCGGTGGGGTGCTTTAATTTTCTTCCTTATACTTCCACATATTTTTGAAAATAGAATGAGGTTTGTCAGAACAAAACAATACAACTTACTTTTAAAAAATCAACTCTCTTAGGCCAAACAAAACTGACAGAACGTGAACCTTCTCCACCTGGAATGTTTGCCAAGCGGAAGGGACAGAAGGGAGCCTTCACCGTTTGTGAGGAGATGCCAGTGGTCCGGAGGGGCCCCGTGCCTGTGCGCCCACGTGCCGCGGGAGCAGAGAGGGTTACCTCAGTGTGGGGGCGGGGCCAGGAGACGCCATGCCGCCTGCCCGTAGGTGCTCCGGCGGCCTTTGCGGGGACTCGCTGGCCCCAGGCTGCCCCGCCACATGCGCGGAGAGCGTCTGCGTGTGTTCGTCGGACAGACACGCCACGGAACAGGCACCGGGCTGTGCAGCCAGGGGGTCCCCCGGGGACTGGCCGCACGGTCCTGACCTCCGAGCGACTCGGAAATCATCCCGGCAGGAGGTGGCAGAAAGTGCGGCCCTGTCTAAGATCCCAGGACTCCGGGATGGAGAGAACGGGGCGGAGGGGCTCTGCCCGGAGAAAGGCAGGAAGGGGAAGGTGCCTCGGGGGGGAGAAGTGAGCTGGGCCCCAGGGTGCAGCGGGGCGGGGCGGGGGGGTGGGGACCGGGGCTGGCCTGGGGACCTGGGTGGCCCTGGCAGCAGTTTAATGCACGGTCCTGCCCGGCTGGACTTCGGAGGCCGGCCTCCGGAGCCGAGCCCCAGGCTAGCCGACCCGACAACTCCCCGAGCCGATTACTCTGTCGCTGCCTGTTGGTGAACCCCGTGTTGTTTGGTCGTAGGGGGCCAGCTCTCTCCTAGCGGGACAGCAGACACCCTTCCTGCAGCTTCCGCGCTAGAGGTCAGCTCAGTGGGCAGCCAGCGCCGGGTCCCCCTCCCCCTCCAAGCCCATCCAGGGTGTCAGTGGGGTTGCAGTGCCCAGGGGACAGGGGCAGGGTGGCACCCGGCTCAGAGATCCCACCTCCACAGCCCCCCCGCCTCGCCGCTTCTGGTGCCTGGGGGCTGCGGAGGGCACAGAGCCTTTGGTCCGCTACTGCGAGCCGTCTGGAGGGGCCTCTGGGTGCCAGGAGGACCGCGGGCGGCCCAGTCTCGCTGTGAGTCTGCGTGTGGTGCTGATGGGACAGGGACGGGCGGCTCGGCCGCCAGGGCTGGGGCGGGGGCCGCTTGGGCTTTGTGTGTCTGAGACCGAGGAGGACAGGAGGCCCGAGAACAGACTCGTTAACACGCGCGAGGAAGAGTGAGCCTCGGGGCGGGGGGGCGCGTCCACTGCGGACGCTGCTCCTGCGACTGGGCAGGGCCGCAGTCCGGTCCCCCCCGCACCCCGCCCCCCGCCCCGCAGCGCGGGGTTAGACTCCGTGCCCGCAGGCAATGCAGAGGGACCACGGATCCCCTCATCCTGGCTCTGACTCCCCCGCCCCCGAACGTCGCCCTCTGGTGCTCCCCCAGCCTTCCCTGGCCTCTGCTGCGCCGGTCACTGGCGATCCCCCTCCCGGTCACCCCCTCACCGGCGACCACTTGGAGCCGCAGCGGGTCGCTGAGCGCGGAGCGGTTGGTCTGGCACCGGTACTCCCCGCTGTCGTTCACGCGGGCCGACGCGATGGAGAGGCTGGAGGCCTGGCCGGGCAGGAGGGTCCCGTTGTGCCACCAGCGGGCGGAGCTGTCCTCCTCCACGCGGTCGCCCTGGCACGTCAGCGTCACGGGGTCCCGCTCCAGCAGCCTGTCCCACTCAGGGCGCAGGGACAGCGCGGCCTTCGGGAGGCCTTCTGCGGAGGCAGGACCGTGTGGGCGGGGGCCAGCCCCGCACACCCACGCCGGTCTGCCGGTCTGCGGGTCTGCGGGTCTGCGGCCAGGCCGGGAGCGTCATGGCTCACAGGCTCCCTGCTGCGCCCTCAGGAGAGCTGGCCGGAGAAGCGCAGCGCCAGGCCCGCCCCACGGGGGGACTGCCCCTGCCACCCCGCCCCCACCCCCGCCAGCCGTGGCCTCGGCCCGTGGCTTCTGCATGCCACGGGCCCCAGCGGTCAGCGGGACACCCTGAGAGCCAACTCACCAGACCGAGAGCGGCCCGAAGCTGTGGGAGAGAAGAGGAAGATGGACGTGAGCTCGGGCAGAGACGGGGACGGGGGCGGGGGCGGGGGTGGGGGGGCGGGGCTGCCCCGCCAGCCGCCCGTGTCCCCAGGAACCAGGACATGCGGCTGCCGGCTGTCCTCGCTGGTCTCCGACGTCCGTGCCTCCAGCCCCCTCCCCGCCCGCCCGCCCACCCAAACCCCTGTTTTCACCACCGCCCCCGTACTCCCTGGTCCCTGTCCAGTCCCCCAAATTAAGGACGTGGACAGACTCTGCCTGAAAGGAAGCCTCAAGCAGCCGCCGCCCGAGCCCCCTCCCTGGAAAGAGCAGACACAAGAAAGTCCCGGAGAGGAGGCCGGGCCGCCGCGATGGGAGAGGCCCCCGGCCCACACATGGGTGGGGGCACTGAGAACTGGGGCGGGGGCCCCCTTCACCCCCCCGATGGCACCAGCGTTCTCTGCGTCTCCGGTGGCTGGTCCCCGGAGCTGAGCCCGGGGCTGCAGCCGCCGGGGGTCCCCGATCCTCGCCTGACCCCCAGGCACCCTGAGCACCTCCCTGCGCTGGCCACTCTGACTCACCTAGCAGCAGCAGGGCGGTGGGCGGCAGCAGCCGCCACATGCTGGCCGGAGAGCGACAGGGGGAGCTGTGCCTGGCTGACTCGGGAGAAGTGTCTCCTGCCTTCCCTCACGCAACAGGCTCCTGCTCTGGGAACGTCATTGATTTTTGACTCTGACCTCAGACACGTGAGCCTCGGGCAGGCGGGGGGGGTGCCTGCAGGGGAAGCTGAGCGGGGCGTGTCCCTTTGTCCCTCGTGGCGGGCCCGGCCGGTGACAGTCTGCGGGGCACCCTCGGAAGGCTCAGGGTTTGCCCCACCTGGCAGGGCTGGGTCGCCCAGCACCAGGAAGCGGGGAGAGCGGGGACGGGGGAGGGGGCGGACCACTGTCCCCGAGGGTCTCCGTCTCCGTCTCCGACCTTCTTCTTCCGGCCGGCCCGGTCCCCCCCCCACCCCCGGCGCCACCGAAGCACAGGGGGCAGGCGGTCCACCCCAGAGACCCTACAGGCCCTCTCAGCCCGGCGTTTCTCCACCAGCGTTTCCTTCCAAGCAGCAGTGCCCACGCCCTCTTCTCGCTTCCCAGCGTGGGTTCGCTCCCAGGGCTCCCTGCGTCTCTGGAAAAAGGAGCCTTGGCTGTCGGGGAGATGGGCTCTGGAGAAAGCAAGGGGCCCGCAGACAGGTGGGGGCGGAGGGGTCAGCGGCGAGGCGGGGGCTCTGTGCCGCCACCGTGGCGGCACGAGGGCTGCGCCAAGCCACAGCCACTGGCGGGGGGCGGGGGGGGGGCTTGGCCGCTCGGGGCTCCTTGCGGAGAAGGTGGGGCTGCGGGGCAGCCTGGGGGTGCAGGGCCGTCGTCCACTCTGTTCCCCAGACCCCGGCGGTCAGCAGGTGCCCACCCTCCCCCTGCGTCCAGGCCCCGGACAGGAAACCGAACCGCCTGGCACTGACGCCCCTTTTCACGCCAGAAGCGGCCAAAACCCTCCTCGGGCTTCGAGTTTTGTTTGTTTGGCTCGTGCGTAGAGTTCGTCGTCCTTCCCGCTCCCACCGCGCCCCCCCCACAGGCCTCCTTGCAGCCTCCCCTCCCCCGCACGCCCGGGGACTGGTGGACACCGGTGAGCGGCCCCGCAGGGCCTCCGTTCACGTCTTGCACAATGCGGACCCGCGCCCACCTCAGCTGCCTGTCCGGGGGTGCAGGGGCTCCCTGGCCGCATGGCAAACACTTCGGGTTTCCTTCTGGAAGGCTCCCCTTCTCCGGCTCGCCTTCTGGGTGCGGCCTTCCGGGGGGAGGGGCGTGTCCACCCCGCAGCCGGCGGGCCCGCCGAGAGTTGCCGGGTGGGCGGCCGACTTCCTGGGGTGGGCAGAGGCCCGCAGGTGAGGGAAGGGGGTGCTCCCGGGGGCTGGTCCCCGCCGCCCTGCCCTGTCCCGAGCGGAGACGCCGGAGCGCCGGGCACCGCGCTGCGTCTTCCTTCGCCAAGGTCGACCAAGGTCATCGAGCCCGGGGCCTCCAGCCTCTCCTGGGGAGACCTCTGGATAAGCGTCTCCGGGAGCATTTGTGAAAAGCCGTGGGCACGCAGAGAGGGCCGCGGCTCATTCCGTCCGGGGAGGAGTCTGCACAGAGGACAGGGCCCCCGGTGGCATCACAAGAGAGTGGATGGCGTGGCTGGCGTGTCTGCAGAGCTGGGCACCGTCCCCGAGATCAGCGGGCGCCACGCGGCACCCAGTGGGTTAACAGCGGGGGTGGAAGCTCGGCTCCACCGCCTGAGCCTCCTGGGCCTCAGTCTCCCCCTCTGTCAAATGGGGCTGCAAACAGCAGTCCCAGCCCCGAGGACTTGTTGAGGACAGTGCCCGTGCGGCTGCTGGCCCCCTGTCCGGACCTGTGCCCGCTGGCCACCGTTTCAAGCCCCAAAGCAGAGGCGGGGCTCCCTGGCTCCTGCGTTAGGCTGCGACGCCCGTCCCCTGGTCCCCGTCCCCTGGCCTCCTGCAGGGGCTTGTCACACCTGTGGACTGCGAGGTCTTTCAGGGCAGGCAGCGGTTCCTCTGGCAACCACCGTGTCCCCAGCATCCCGCACCCAGCCTGGACCGTCCTAGGCTCTCCACTCACACTCACTGGGTGACGCCGAAGGGCCCCTCGGTCACGGGGAGCAGCAGCACGTGGTTCCTGGGGCCGCCCTCGGAGCAAGAGTCACCGAGCGTGGGACTGACCATCGAGGCTTCAGGCTGTCGAACAGCACAAGCGGGTTTACACCGTGTTAAAGTGACTCCGCCAGCAGGCCTGGAAGTCGGGTGGAGGGAGAGGCTGCAGGTGGGGGGGGGGCGGGGGGTTGCTGGCACAGCCCCGGTGAGGGAGGGGGGCCTGTGGAAGCAGGAGGGCGTTTGGGAGAGGAGAGAGGAGTGAGGAGGCGGGGTGGGCAGGGCACGGGCGAGCCCCGGGCGCTTGGGGCTCGAGGGAGGGTCTGGTGGAGCTCAGCCCCGGGTGCAGGGGTCAGAAGGCTGGTGTGCACTTGCCACAGGCCGACAGAGTGCAGGGTGCAGGCCTGGGTCGAGGGAGGGGGCCGCAGTGAGGGGGTCATGGCGGTTTCGGGTGAGACGTCCAGAAGGCGGTGGGACGCACGGCTCCGGGGACGGCTCTGCACCAAGGACGCGTTTAGGAGGCCCCAACGCGGCTGGTGTTTTAAACTGATAAAAGCTTTGGGCGTCTCCCAAGGAAAAATGCAAGTGTAGGTGCTTTCCCTCTCCGAGAGTGCCTGCACCCTCCTGCCCCCCCCTCCCCCCGTGCTCCTTCTTCCCGGGCGTCACCTGTGCCCTCCCCCTCCTGAGCCCCAGGGTCCCCTCCGGCCCCTGGCACGGGGCTCCGGAGCCCAGGCAGCCCTGCTGGCTCACGTCTCCTGCCTCTGTGGCTTTCCGAATGGACTTGCTCTTCCAACGTGAGAAACAACGACAACATGCACTCCGTTTTCCCTGTAGTTCAAGACGCCCCCCGGAAGCCCCAGGGAGGGCCCCGGTCGGGTCAGAGTGTGGGAGAGTGCTCTCTGCCCCGGGACCGGGGAAGGGGGAGGGCGGTGGAGGGTGAGGACGGGGGCGCGGACGGGGTCGGAGGCTTGGCACTCGGCCACTCCTGCTGCGTGTGCAAAACCAGAGCCGCTGACAGAGCGGGTTGGGGAGGCGGGGCAGCGAGGAGAGGGCCCCCAGAGGCCCCCACCCTGTGCGAAGCGCCGTGGAAAAGTCCGTGTGGCCCCCCGGGGAGTGGCTGCGGTCTTCGCCTGCATCATCTCAGGGGCTGGGGCTGCGGACGGAAGCCTGATCCCTCCTGGCTGAGGACGGAGCAGAAATAAAAAACTGTCTCGACGAACTTCTAGTCCTCTGAAGCATCTCTGTGATGAAGGCCATGAGGGTGCAGTGAGCGGTGGTCCCGGCTCTCCAGGAGCCCCGCCCCCTCGCAGCAGCACCCCATCCTCCCTGGGGGAGCCCCACTGCGGGCGGTCTCAGTACAACGTGGTGGCTGCTTTCACTGCAGACACCGAAGGGGCCAGACCTCCGTGTCCTGCCCTGAGGTCCTGTGGTGGGTTAAACGGCGTCCCCCCAGAACCTGCATGCTGAAGCCCTCGCCCCCAGGACCTCAGGAGGGAAGTGTGTTTGGCGGCAGGGCCTTCAACGGGGCAACTAAGCTAAAAGGAGGACCCTCGTCCCATGGGACTGGTGTCCTCCTGGGAAGCGCTGGGGACACAGACACACACAGAGGGACGCACGAGCCCGTGAGGACTCGGGGAGGAGCCGGCCCTGCCCACACCCGGGTCTCGGCCTCCGGCCTCCGGGACGGCGAGGAAGACACATCTGTTGTCCAAGCTACGTCTGTTATGGGGGCCAGAGAGCAGCCCCGCTGGTCCCCTCCGGGGTGCCGCCCCCGAGGAGGGGACTCCGGGGGGGGGAGACGGTGGGGTCTCGGTCGTCACCGCAGTGGGACCGGCGGACCCGCCTCCACTGCCCACCCGCCAGGAGCTCCCTCTCCTGTGCTGACACCTGCGGCTTCTGGAGGGGCCGCCCCCAGTCGGAAGCCCCGAGGGACGCCACGGGAGAGGAGACTCAAACACTTGCGTCCCGGGGAGGACGGGGGGGGGGGAGGGAGAGTTTATTTTGTTTGACGGGAGACTTGAACTTGTCCACAGGCTGCTGTAATGGCTCCCCTCGCCAGGGCACTGGGCCGGTGGGGCAGTCAGGAGCCCACCCAGATCCAAGGTGGGGGCAGGGGTCCAGTCTCCAGAGGGAGAGAGTGAAGGGTGACCACCGAGAAGACCATAGTGCCCTTCTAGAACTTTCCCTACACATCCGCATTCATGCGAATGCGCATCTGCCTGTACCTGTGTATTTTGTCCATTTTCAGTGGTTTACGCTTACACATGACGTGATTTTCTGCAACCTGAGCTTTTACACTAATCCCCCCCCACAGGCACACAAACACACACCACTCAACATGTTCCACATTTTCCTGAGTATTTGAAAACTTTATTGTTGCTCACTTCCAGTTGCCCCGAGATTTCCCCGACCGCCCCCCCCCACTCACTCCCGCAGTCACTCCCCCCCTTGCCCGTGCCCGTGAGTCCTCTGCTCGCGTCCCTTTGCCTCTTCCCCTCCTTCCCCGCTACCCCCGCCTTCGCCCCTCTGGTCTCGGTCACTCTGTTCTTCGTTTCCGTGTCTCCGTTTCTATTCCCCTCATTTGTTTTGTTGATTAGGTTCCACTTAGGGGTGAGGTCATGGGGTGTGTGTCTTTCTCCGCCTCTCTGAGGGGCGTGTGGGAAGGAAGAACGGTGTCCCCCCTGACTTTCTTGGGCCTCGGAAGGCATGTGCGCTGAGACCCGCACGGCTTGGCCCATTCTGTCCTCCTGCACGTCGGCCAGAGCCAGGGCCCCTCCCTCCCGTCACGCGTCCACGAAGAGATGGACGGCGAAGGCCACCGAGCGGCCAGGAGAGCCGTGACGGCCTCCTAAGGAAACACTCCACTTGCAGCACCAAGTACAGTGGCCTCTCAAGTGCAAGCGCAACCGGCACCGAGATCACTTCGGACACAGGTTCACCGTCCCGTCTCTAGGCAAATGAGGGAGGGAGCTAGGAAAGGAAACTTCCAGAATGCGGAAGTGTGCTGGGTGGGGAAGGTCTTGGGGGAGATGCGGAGACCTTACCCCCTCCGGGGGCCGAGGGTGAAGAAGAACCGATGGGACGTGCCGTGCGGACGAGGGTCCTGGGCGGCCGAGCCGGGGACAGAGGTGGACGTGCGGATGCCCCGCCCGCAGAAGGACATGTGGGGAGGATGAGAGGTAGAGAGAGAGACTCAAAAAACAGGAACAGACTGATGGCCGCAAAAGGGGCGAAAACCACAGAGAACCGAAAGCGGTTGTGTGGGGCCTTCGGCCACGGCCTGCTGACCGTGCCCGCAGTCACTAACACACCCCGGCCTGTTGACACGGAAGAGCGCCCCAGAGGTTCAGTGCTACCCGCCAGCCTGACTCACCTGGTCACCTCCCATCAGGACACACACAGACCCTCCCCCCCCACAACCCCGCAGAACCTCAGGGTCTCAAACGCGGAGCGCTGGCGGCGTGTTGTGGGAACCGCGCTGTCCGGGAAGGAAGTGCCGCCGTTTCGGTTTCGAGATGACAGAGGCTGGGCGGCAGGCCGCCCGCTGCTCCCCGAGCCTCCGCTGCTTCGTCTGCGGTGAGGTCGCCGGGCCGCCCCGCGTCCATCTCTTCCCATCGCAAACGTCCTCCGGTTCTGAATGCCGGCTTCCGGTGGACGTTTCTAGACAACGCAGAGGGCAGCAGTGTCTGTGGTCTGCACACCCCAGTGGAAGCGGCCGGACAACTCTGGGGAGTTCGGGGGGGGGGGGGTTGGAGCATCGCTAGCAGGTTGCTGCCTCTAGGGTCTAACGTTGGTGATAAAGTTCGAAAGCTCATGCTTTTACTTGCATGCAAACAGGCAGCACCCGCGAGGAGGGTGACAGGTACAGCAGGAAGAAGCCTGGGTTTTGAGCAGGAGAGGCAAGGGCTGGCTCGTGCTGCTTTGTCACCAGCAGCACCCCCCCACCCCCGCGGGCGGTGGGGAGGAAGCCCTCCCCCCGTTCCCAGGGCTTCGCTACAGGCGCAGCCGAGAACATTTTGTTTCAAAACACACATGTGCTCCCTAACAGAGCCCCGCTGTTCAAAAAGTGAAGCAATTCAGAAGTAAATAACGTAAAAGGGGAAGTGACCTCTGTCCCCCAACTTCACGCCCCTCCTGGGGAAGAAGAGGACAGTTGAGTCCTTCCAGAACGTTCCCTACACACTCATCTCCACGGCAACACACATCTGCCTGCACACATTGTATCTTCTTCATTTTTTTTTTTGCTGTTGATGTTTACACATTTTGTGACAGGATTTTCTGCAACTCGATTTTTAAAATAATTCCACAGACACCCAGGCACACAAGTGCACACACCACTCAATATTTTCCACCTTTTTTAACAGGAGAGAAACTGCTGGAAGAACTTCAGAGGGTTGTGTGGGCGGGAAGAGCAGTGCCTGTCCTTTGACTTCTGCGTCCTTAGAAGACGGGACACCAGGACCAGAGCGTCCCCTTCACGGGGGTCGGCTGCCCGTGGCCCTTTCTTTCTCCTTTCCTGCGGGTGGAACGCGATTCTGTTCAGATGAGCGGTGGCCGAGAGCCTCAGTGACGGGCAGAACCTTCCTCAGCCAGCAGGTGACTCTGGGTGGTCTAAGTCAGTGGCTCTTAAATTTGAGCTGCACCAGCGTCACCTGGAAGGCTTGTGGAGAATAGACCAGTGGCTTCACTCTCAGATTTCCTGATTCGGGTGTGGAGACCGAAAAGGCACATTTCTAGCAAGTGTCCGGGTGACACTGCGTGCGGTCCAAGGACCACACGGTGGGGACCCGTTTGCTGCTGGCGATCAAGGACGGAGCGTGTGATACCGTTCTGGACAAGGAGCCCTCAAGAGCAATCAGCTGTGGGAATTCTGGGGCACGGGAAGTAATGGATCCTCTGCCAGGCTTGGGATGTGATGTTTAAGGGTGTGATACTCAGAGCTGCTGCAGCCACCTTGCTCCCATGAGGGACGGGCTTGCCGTGCTAAAGATAACCAAGCGCAGAGAGGAAAGAATCTGGACCGCCACTGGCATTATCATGATACAGATTAACCAACCCTGGAACCACCCCATCTTCAGACAACTTGATGTGTGCGATAATGAAACATTTCTTCTCGTTGAAGCCTCGTGAGAGCCGTTTTCTGGAACTTGACTCACACGCCTCCCTGGCAGTGCCTGGGGTGCTCCAGCAGACACAACCACAGAGCCATTCACCTAAAGCCAGATGTTAGACATTTCTTAGGTCATTTCTAATTATCATTATTTTTAAAAATACATATTTTATTTATTATGTTATTGCAGTTGTCTCATTTTTTTCTCCCCTTTATTCCCCTCCACCCCCTACCCTTCCTCCCACCATCATTCCCCTACCTTAGTTCATGTCCATGGGTCATACATGTAAGTTCTTCGGCTTCTCCATTTCCCGTACTATTCTTACCCTCCCCCTGTCCGTTCTGTACCTGCCATTTATGCTTCTTATTCCCTGTACCTTTGCCCCCATTCTCCCCTCTCCCTCCCCACTGATAACCCTCCATGTGACCTCCATTTCTGCAATTCTGTTCCTGTTCTAGTTGTTTGCTTAGTCCGTTTTTGCTTTCTTAGGTTCAGTTATTGATGGCTGTGAGTTTGTCGTCATTTTACTGTTCATAGTTTTGATTTTCTTCTTTTTCTTAGATAAGTCCCTTTAACATTTCTTATCAGAAGTGCTTGGTGATGATGAACTCCTTAACTTGACTTTATCTGGGAAGCGCTTTATCTGCCCTCCCATTCTGAACGAAAGCTTTGCTGGACAGAGCAATCTTGGATGTAGGTACTTGTCTTTCATGACTTGGAATATGTGTTTCCAGCGCCTTTTTGCCTGCAAGGTCTCTTTTGAGAGAAATCAGCTGACAGTGTGATGGGAACTCCTTTGTAGGTAACCAACTCCTTTTCTCTTGCTGCTTTTAAGATTCTCTCCTCATCTTTAATCTTGGCTAATATAATTATTATGTGCCTTGGTGTGTGCTTCCTTGGGTCCAACTTCTTTGGACTCTCTGAGCTTCCTGGTCATCTATTTCCTTTTCCAGATTAGGGAAGTTCTCCTTCATTATTTTTTTCAAATAAGTTTTCAATTCCTTGTTCTTCCTCTTCTCCTTCTGGCACCCCTATGATTCAGATGTTGGAAAGTTTAAAGATGTCCTGGAGGTTCCTAAGCCTCTCCTCATTTTTTTGA